CTCGGCTGCCTGAACAAACAGAGTCTCGGGGGTTTGGAGATCCTTAGATTTATCGGAGCCACTTTTAAATCGTAGGCTCTTCCTGTAACTGCCCCTCACTAAGTTACGCGATGCAGGAGAGTACGGCTGCCCCCATTACAATACGACTACGAACATCGTGTGGGAATGCTGATGCTAAGCATGGTTCTGCCACTGATGCTGCCACTTCTGAAGCGAATACCAAGACTTGACTAGACCAAAGCGACTCCGTCTGCGAATACCCGCTGCGACTCCCAATTTGACCCTGCGTCTGATTGCAACACTGCACAGCCAATTAATTGGTTCTATCCGATTCTATCCCATGGTTGATCATAAGAGCCATGCACCTAACCACACGACGGTGCAGGTTTTGGGCTTTGAGCTTGGGGTGATTCGTTGGGTAGTCAGGGATGGCAGCAGGGTTCAGACGCATGTGGAGCGGCTGCGCTCTTCGGATCGCTTGGACCGGGATGGAGGGAGCTGGATGGGCTGCCTTTGGCTGAAACCCTTGAAGCTCCTCAAAGTCCCTAAAGTCCCTGAAACCTGAACTCTGATAAAAGCAAGGGCAAGGCCGTAAACTCTCCGCCCAAACCTCAGCAACGGCAGCCTACAGGGCCCTGAGCCCTGACGGACTCAGGCCCGGACACCGTCACGCCCGAAACCTTCGAACAAAGGAAGGGGGCTTTGAAGGTCTTCAGATACATCGCGGGTCTCTGTGTAGAGCTGTGATGATACCAAACTTGCAGGGGTTTCCAATCTCACGAGATGTCCTGGTGAAGACGGACCAAGGGAGCCTTCCAAACAGGAGTTTCTGAAAATTCGGGGTACCTTATTTGACAGGGATCCTACTATTTAGGGTACTATATTGAGGTCCCCTGTTTTCGGAAACTTCCAAAAAGACTTCTCCTTTGCGCCATGCGATGCAACGACGAAGTCCAGGTCGCTGAGCAACAGAGGTTCAACCCTCATCCCGAAACCCCTGGTACGGATTAGAGATGCAAGGCCGCACTGTTCGCATTCTGATCCTGTCTACGAAAACATAACTATTCTTATAACCCCGGTTAAGGTACTTATTACTATAACCTTACTAAGTCTCATGATCCTCCGGGTACAGCGTGAATCACGAAGCCCGAAATCTGGAATCCGGCAAAATTCACCACCTCGGTGTCAAAACCTTTAAGCTCCAACGCTTAGGAAAATGAAGGCTTCGACGGTTTCGGGATTTTGGTTGTGAGATTTTAATGCCTGGACTTTCAACATTCAGGGACATGGGTGCGTAGTTCTTATGGCTCCAAGGTCTAGGTCTGTTATGGTCTTTTACTTCCTTCGCTCCTGATTGCCGTTCCAAAGCCTCAAACCCGAAGAAGGCAACCAAGTGTCCCCTCTCAGCTTCAAATCCACGGGCACTGTACACCCTAAACCCTGAAACCTACATCCACTTCGGAGCATTTTCTTGAAATATGAAAGGCGTCATGCTTAGCGTTACTTCACGCTACCCAACCAACCCACTCGAGCCTTGTGAGCTTTAGCAGCTACCGGCGAATGGACATCCTCCGTCGATGCAGGATGCAGGGGCGGCAGCGATGCAGGCTTGTCGGGGCTTGGGGAATTCAGAGCATCTACTTGGAGGTTCATGGGCAGTTCTTAGTAGAGTTATAGTGGTAGTGGTAGTGGTAGTGGTGGTGGCAGTGGCAGTGGCCAGTGGTCGTGGTGATAGTAGTAGACAGCAGCGCTTGTCGTCGTCATCATCTGTTGCACTGCTTGCCAGTACTGCTGCAGCAGCACTAGTCCTAGCACTAGCGCAGTAGCAGCTGGGGAAAGATCAGCATGACAAATTTACTTCGGAGTTGAGGGGGAATACCTCAGCCTCCCATGCAACAAGCCTCCGAACCCAAGTCGGATTGGTCATGGTCATGGCAGCGGCCATTGAAACCCCAACAGAAAATGACCAATGAGGACCACACCCTTCCTCCAAACTGGGTTCCCGACGCTCTCCTTACGCCAGCGCCTGCTGCTACGAGCTTGGATGACATCAAACAAACGCAAAACAATTGAGCCCAGGGTGGCTGCATGATTGGTGATGATGATTGTGGTGGTGATGATGATAATGACGATGATGGTGGTGATGATTGTGGTGATGATGACGCTTACGAAATGATGATAGCGATGATGATGATGATGATGATGATGATGATGATGACGATGATGATGATGATGGTGATGACAATGATGGTGATGTTAGGATGATGTTGGTAAAGATGTTGATGCTGATGATGATGATGATGATGATGATGATGACGGTGGTGGTGATGATGATGGTGGTGAGGATGATGATGACGATGGCGGTGATGATGAAGAAGAAGACAACTAATAACGGTGGTGGTGAGGGTGTTGATGATGATACTGATCATGCTGATGATGAAGACGATGATGACGATGGTGATGATGGTGATGATGGTGACAATCAGGATAACAAAGACAATGAGGACCAAGATGCACATGGTGACTATGTGGATTCCTATGACAAGATGGCGATGGTATTGACGATAATGAGGGGTGAAAACGAACATGACGGTGGTGACGAGGTCACCACTCATCACGATACCAATATCGGCTTTGCACATGTTTGCTCGCTCTTAACAGTAGCAGCGAATGAGCACATGAAAATAGTGGTACCGCGATACTACGGCTGTTCAGACAAAGCAGCACATGCGCGGTCATACAACGCCGATACAGCAACACACAGTATTGCCAACTACTAACCGAGCGAACTGCTCACGGCCAAACGCCTGCATCAACCCCTACTACCTGCAGCTACCTGCTATCACATGCGGAAAGCCTGAACACCTCATCAAACCGGCAATGCAAGACGATAAAGAAGCCTCATAGCGGCAAAAGCACAGTTTGCACAAGCTTGCCGATTCGATTGACTGGAAAAACGACGCAAGACTCTTCGAGCGCTGAAGCAAAAAGACAAAGACCCAGCTGGCACCTGTGCTGCGCTTGCAGCAGGAACGCCTCCGAAAAAAGAGGCGCCCTTCCCATGCACTGCTTCTCCTGCTTGGGGTTTAGGAATTCGGCCTCTGGATTTGGTGTTGAGGGTTCGGGGTTTCGGGATTGGAGATGTTTAGGACATGTTGTTCGGGGTTTAGGGCGTTACATTGGTCGGGTTCAGGGCGCTTTGAGGCGAATATGCCATTCAGGACTAGTCGGTGCGTCCTCCACAGATAAGCCGGATCGCCGAGGTAGCAAACGTTTGGCCTCAGCTGGTTCAGGATGTGGGGTGTCAGGGCACAGGGTTCAGGGATCAAGATCGTAGTAACCCCTCCTTATATATGGTCAGGCGTCTGGCGTTCCCAGCCCCCCCCCCCCCCCCCAATGGTATGGTCTGACAGGGGTGGGGGGGGGGGGCCTGGCGTGTGCGGAAAGGGGTTGGGGCCGTTGGAGCTGCCACTGGATGGTGGGGTGGTGCTGGCGGCCAGGGCTCACGCGCAAGCCCTTCGCAAGCAAGCCGTAAACCCTATGACGCAGCGCGTGCCCCGGTTTTGAGCAACCTTAACTTGTACTTAAAACGCTACACCCAACCCTAAACCCCACCTAACTGCAGGCTCTAAGCCTAAAGCAGAGCATACACCGCAAATCCTCCCTAAGCCCTTGTCGACTCGAAGCCTTATACCTTGTAGCCGTAAACCCAAAACTCAAAAGCTTAAGCTAAACCCTAAACCCCAAAACCCCACAACCACCCACAGGGGGAAGAGGAACCCCACACCCCACACCACAGGGGAGGGGGGGGCCCCACCCTATATCCGGACCATTGACCTTTGGGGGGGGAGGGGGGGGGGGGGGCCTGCGGAGCGCGTGACCATCCATATATATATATATATATATATATATATATATATATGGACAGCTGATGCCTTAAACCTCTTCCTTCCAATGAAAACGTCATAGCCTCCACAGTGTACAGGTGGCCGAACGCAAGGTCCGAGCAACATGTCAGCCCTCCCAAGCAAACTTTGAGCCGCTCAAAACATCTGAATCGCAGTGGCAAGGGGCCATGGGGAGCGCGGAAGCACCACCGTGGGTCCACCCACATGGGTCGCATGATTTCTACGAAGTCGGCAATGTGCCGTCGCAAAAGCGCGAAGCACGTGAATGACAATCTTCCCTCATTGACACAGCAACACCACATGCACCTAACAGCATGCATTGTGCCTGCCATCCTTAAGTTCATAGCATCAACCTTGCTCAAGAAAGCAGCGTCATGATCATCATCGTCGTCATCATCACTTTCCAGTTATCCTCCGTTGTTGACCCAAGTACCAACTTGGAAGTTTACATGAGACGAACACAGCGCACAAGCATGCACTATTGAATAAATGCACGATCAAACGATTGAACCCCTCGTGGCTGCGGGCAGGTAAAAACTCAGGCCGTTCCAGGAAAGCTGAAGGCCTTGATGGAGACCCCATATATCCGAGTCATAGTAACCTCCTCGCAGTGTCACATGATGACAGGGACGAACCGCAACAATCCGGAGCAGTATCACGTTCAAGCAGCGACGGGCCGAAGCCCCTATCGCACCTCGAGAGGCTAAGCCTGTTAAGCGAAGTAGGGGTGTGGGGTTTGGGGTTTTTGACATCTACGCCCTATTTATAGGTCCCTAAAAGTGCGGCGGCTGCAAATGGTCTCTAAGCTCCGGACACGAAGCCTCGAACGCAATGCAAATAAACGTCCAGAGAAGTCTGCGCAATTCTGACAGCGGCTTTTACTGGTGTCTGGTACAGAATCCACCGACAGACAGCAAGCCGGTTCCTCGTCGAAGTTCGCATCGGAACTCGAGGATAACCGAGGCTTCGAATCAAGGCTTTGAGGTGAAAACTTCAGGGTTTCCAGACAGTGGTTTCGGGTTAGGCAGTTCAAGCTATGTCTTGCGGTAAAGGGTTCTCAAGTTCTGAGAGCTTGCAGTGCGCAAGTCGGTGTCAGGGCCGATCACATGGAACCCCGTGGTCCACCTCTTCCCAAAGACGGGGGTCAGTAATCGGAAGCTGTACAGGCTCTTCGATATCAGCAGAAGAGCTGACAAGGCCAGCGTGGCTTGATTCTCTGTAGAACCGCCACCACATCGCCATTGCAAGACACGTCAGTGCAAGCAGGATGAGGCTTGTCGTGAGGGCGGCAACTGCGGCGATAAGTGTGAAGGTCGCACGGTCCTCTTGCGTTTGCACAGACGATGCCCGTTCCTGAAGCATCTGGACCTGGCGCATAGCACAGCAGACAGCTGTCATGATGCCGCCAGAACAGAAACAGTAAGAACGATGACGACGCGAAAGACGACAACCACAACAACCGGTCAACAATTGGCAGCAGCCACAGCAACAACAACATTGACAACACAAGCAGCATCAAAGGCAACAGCGACAGAAAGAGCAACAACTGCAACTCCCCATCACTGCAATCAGGACTGCTTTCATCGTCCCCATCCTCCTTATGTCCGTCTTTGAAACCACCTTAACGTGCAAACGTCATCACAAATAACAGCAGAGTCAAAAACACGTCACCGCCAGCACCAGTACTACCACCGTCGTGCACCTGTGAGAGGCTGCTGCGAAGCACACAGGAGACATTACATTGAACAAACTACTGGCACGGATGCTGGTGCTAGTCTTCACCGAAATCAACTCGAGGGCAATCAGCATGGTCTTCCTGCTCAAGAGCACCAGCATCAGCTCACCACCATCATCATCAGGATCACCGATCGCAGTGATCATAATGGCAAGAAGGAAGGAGGCATCGAAGACTCTGTGGCCACCGTGCCTTCATCGTCAGGTCTGCAAGGCATGCAGCCATGAGAGCGGTGTCTGTGTCCGAGTCATGGGTACTGCGACAGACGGTCGAGTCGAAGTCGAAAGCTGCGGACTCGGAACTTGTCGTGCTCGAACCGGTCCTTGAAGTGGTGCTGGGCCACAACACGCTGGTGCTCGTGCTCGATGCCGTCTCACTGACTGAAGTGGAAATTGGTATCGCGGTGACACCAAAGACTGAAGACGTGGATGAAGTGGACCCGCCGCCGGATGCACCAGTGTGAGCTGTGCTCGTCGAAAAGAATGGAGCCGATGAACTGGCTCCACTGCCGGATGAAGTGCTGCGCGTGCTGCTCGTCGAAGATGTAAACCATGCTGAAGCTTCACTGCTGGATGTCCTGGTGCTTGTCGTGCTCGAGCTGCTGCTGATGATGCCCGTCGAAGGTGATGGTGTCAATGAAGAAGTCTCACTGCTAGGCTTACTAGCGCTAACCGTGCTCGAGCTGCTGCTCGCTATCCCCATCGAAGATGACGATGTCCATGAAGCAATCGTGAAGCTGCTCGTAGCGCGCGAAATCCGAGAAGTAGTCGAACTGCTGAATGCACTGGTGCTTGTCGTGGTCAAACTGCTGCTCACCACGGTGGTCGAAGACGACGATGTCCATGAAATAAGTGTGGAACTGGTTGAGCTTGAGCTGCTACTCGTAGGGCGAGAAATCCGAGAAGTCGTCGTACTGCTGGATGCAGTGGTGCTTGTCGTGGTCGAGCTGCTGCTCGCCACGGTGGTCGAAGATGACGATGGCCACGAAGTAAGTGTGGAACTGGTTGAACTGGTGCTTGTCGTCCTTGAGCTGCTACTGGTAGTTCTGGTTGATGAGGTGGAGGCAGAAGTAGTCCTAGTGCTGGACGAGCTGCTGCTTGTGCTCGATGTGCTGCTGGGCTTGCTACTGCTACTACTGCTGCTTGCTGTGGCTGTCCAGGTAGAGCTTGTCTCAGATGTCGACCCAACCATGGAAAGAGCCACAGCAGGCAGGTTCTCTCCCATGTCCAGCGCATTGCCACCGACATTGGTCGTGTGTCCAAGCCCGAGTTGGCCTTCATCGTTCAGGCCCCAGCACTTCACCGTGGAATTGTCCAACACAGCACACGCATGGTAATACCCAGTTGTGACATGCAGCACGGTCCGCCCCGTGCCAAGGTCTACAGTCGGTAGATGGTCTCCCATCTCCGAGCCGCTGTCGCCCATGTTGTTCGTGTGCCCAAAGCCTAGTTGGCCATAGGAGTTGGAACCCCAGCATTTCAAGGAAGCATCGTCCAGCACCGCACATACAAATGAGTGTCCTACAGCAACTTGGTGCACAGTCCTCCCGGTACCAAGGTCGATGGCAGGCAAGTGGTCTCCCATTTGCCCGGCACTATCGCCAACTGCACTGGTGTCACCTCTTCCCAACTGTCCGACGGAGTTTTCACCCCAGCATTTCAAGCTATCGTCATCCAGTAATGCACAACCAAAAAGATATCCCAGCGAAACCTGGCGAACTGTCCGGCCAGCACCCAAGTCAACGGTTGGCAAGCTGTCGCCCATCTCGCCTCCGTCGTCGCCGACGTCTGTGCTGTGCCCGAGCCCTAGTTGGCCAACATCGTTCCTGCCCCAGCATTTCAATGTAGCATTGTTCAGCACGACACAAAAGGATCCCGCTCCTGCTACAAGCTGTGTTGCAAACTGGCCCTCTCCGAGGTCAACCGCATGTTGGAGAAAGTCCTCGACCCCAAGTCGATTGTGGCTGTCCTCGGCGCCGAGGCTGCCGGCATGGTTGTAACCCCAACATCTGACACTCCCATCCGCGAGAATGGCACAGGCCTGCTGGCTCCCTGTGCTGGTTGTGATAAAGCCGGAAGTTACAGTAAAGTAGATCCCCAAGTCTAGCTCGAGGATCTTGTAGCCAGAGCCCTCGCCAACTGCAGGACAGAGGTCACTCGTCGTCCACGGAAGACCACCCAAAGACAGATCGCTAGTGGAACCAAAGGAAGCTAAGGAGGCACGGCTGGAGCCGTAGCACTTGATCTCCTCGTTGTCGAGCCACGCGCACGTAACATAATACCCGGCAAGAAGCTTTCTTACACTGTGCCCGGAGCCAAAGTCAATTGCCGAAAGGCGCTCCACCTGGCCTGGATACTGACCCACAACACCTGGCCTTCCCAACCCCAGCTGGTCACCGCTTCCCCAGCACATGGCCAAACCATCACCCAAAGCACAGGAATGCGAGTAACCTGCAGCCACTTCGCGAATCACTGGACCTGAGCCCACCAGCCGAAGTGGGAGCACCAGAGCCGCCATCAGGCCAGAAACCATCCTCATTGGGATGGTGGGCCCAGCCTTCGCCCCATCACGGTACTTCTCGATCCAAAAGTAGCAATCTTCCGATAGCAGCCTTGCAACACCCCATGCATACCAGCAACAGCATATGTTGTGCCTGCTGTCTTTATGGTCTTGTCATCAGCACACTTCTTGAAGTGTCAACTTCATCCCCGTCCCGTGTCTTCGTGCTAGCACAAGACTCGCGTGGATGTTTGGCATACAAGACGAAGGATCACAGAAATGAAGACATGCAACAACAAACACGACTGAACCCTCATGGCTGTGGGGATAAGAAAACTAAGACGCTTCCAAGCCGTTATACATGCACACATGAAGCTCACCTCTGCAAGAACAGCCTACCTGAAGCTGCTGACCCGAAGCTCCGTCCTAGACTCCAGGCAAACGAAGCACAGGGCACATTCTTTTCCAGCGCAGAGATCAACCGCCTGCCTCAAGTCCCAAATGTGTTGGGGATGACCGGGCTTCAGAAACCCTTCGATGCTTCCCCGAACCTTCGCACTCCGCAGACAACGAGCCTGGGTTGAAACTCTGAAGCTTCCGTGGGCTGAGGCGGCTGAGTCCGGAATCTGGAGCTCTGCCACGGACCTTCGAGTGCAGAGTGCTACCGTGGGCCCTTAAAGTGCGGGTCGCGTGTCAAGGAGCATCCGTTGCAAAAGGCCGGCTGCGCAGCTGCAAGCGCTCGCTGCGAGGTTTTTGGCTCGGCCAATCTGAGGCGACGCCGGCCAAAGTTGAAGAGGGGCAGAAGACAAGAGACCTGGCTCTTCGACTAAACTCCGGCAGGACATAAGGAAGACGACGGTTCTTGAAAACAATCACCGGGCAGCCACACTTCACGCGCCGCCACTGCTCGGCTTGCCAGCTTCGAAACTCAGAGCGTCATCCAACGCTCAGAGTGGGAGATGCGGCGTCGCAGTCTGCACACAGTTGGAGTCCAAGAAATCTTGGGCGAAGTAAGGAGCAAACTCTAGCACGGACGTCTCCAACATCTTGAACTTTGTGTCTGTCCTGAAGCAGTCGGGGCCGACCTACAAGAATCGGGCTGGCCGGCTTGTGAGGGGCCAGCGGAGCCAGAGCGACAAAACCAAAAAGCTCCTGGCATCCGACATCCCCAAAACCCTGAACATCCCTAAACCCTTACCTTGGATGGGAGACAGCTGACTCAGGGCCGAGTGTCACCAGCTTGGTGTCAGCCTCCAGTCCTGCAGCCTCTGTCGCAGCTGGAGGCAACATGGACGAAATAGGGCTGCAGTGCGAAGTCTTCGAGGTGCACGTTGTCAACACCTCAACCCCAGAAAGGATCGTGGGCAGGCACAGGTCCTGCCGCGAACCTACCCAGGCTCACGACGCTGGGTCAGGCCTCTTTGAAACCACAAGGGGCATCTTGCCGCACGCGAAGCCTAGAGAGGCATCAGCCGAGATGTTCCCTCGCGTATCTGCTGTCAACGCAGAACTTGCGAGGAGGTGCGAAGCCAGAGGCCGAGCGCCGCACGAAGACAGCAATGCAGAGGCACAGCTCACTCTGAAACCAAGGCAGGATGCTGCTTGCCTCCTCGGAGCGCGAGGAGCAGAAAGCTCCCAAGCACTCGAAGCCATGCGAAGCCTCACTTCGGGAGGCCATCACCGGTTGCGACCACGTTTGCAAAAGTCACGCAATCTACTGCCAGGCCGGTGGACACCCAGCGGCCGGCTGACACTGATTTAAGGCTCAACGCGACCCTGGATCTCCAAAAGTGGCAGAGAAGTCGTGGGCCTTGGGCCGTGGCCGTTATTTATTTGGGAATCCCCGCTCTGCCTGGATTCTCAAGAGGCGGGCTCCCTGCCCACGAAACACGCATTCCCTCGCGCATAAACGGGGAGTCCTCGAAAAAATCCCAAGGGATTTTCTGGCCTCCCCAGACGTTTCATGCAGCCTGACCAATGATCAGGATCTATGGAGTGTCTTCGGACGCTGTGAGGTGCGTCCAAACGTCAACCTCACTTGACTCTCAAGTGCGCTGTCTGACAATTAAATGCATACTGCGCGGGGTCCGCCAAAAAGCAGACAATGCCGAAAGACAACTGCCGAGAACCGCCCAGGCCTTCCCCTTTCCAGAATCCAAAGTGAAGTTGATTACACCGCAACACACCGAAGCACTGCAGGTCTCGCTTCGTCCCATCAGCCTCAGCTTGCATCCGGCACGGGGCAAGGCTATTCCCTTCATGCTACAGCCTGATGCCCCTGCCGCTTCTGCATCTCCTTGAAGTACTATGCGTCAGCCGGAACCGAGTCATGGCAGAACCCTGGCTTTGTCTGCGACTGTCTTGTCTGATGCTGCGCACCACCAGCCACACACCCCGCCGGAAGGGTTCATCCAGATGCAACGACACTCAGGCCAGTCACGCAACTCTTGCAGCTTCCACAACTGACGGCTCGAATAAGTAAAATCGCAGATCTGCTTAGGTGCCGACCTGCAGACCGTCGCTGTGTAAGAACAGCTCAAAGCTTAAGAACCGCCAGCAAAGATCCTTCTACAACGTCTTCGTCAAGCAGGTGCAGTGGACGTTGAAAGCTACACTCAGATCACGATGCAAGCTTGAACTTTGGTGCGGGGTCGCACACAAGGGACCGCTGAGCTCAGCAGCCTTTTGGGAATGAAGGAACGATTCGCGGGAGGAATCAAAGTCTCAGACCTTGCAGACCTCTACAGGCCCAGCAGGAAGCCTCCAAGACAGCAACTTCAGTCTGGACAGGCTTCCATCTGAGAAGGGACTTGCGCCTCCATCTTGGCCCTTCTCTACCTACTTTGGGACAACCTCAGCGCGTTGAGCTCCTCCAGCTCTAAAGCCAACGCTGTGCCAGCGTCGAGAACACGCGGCGCGCACACGCAGAAATAGCTTCGGAGTCAGATTCCTAGCCAAGGAAACCCATAGGGTCGAGTCCACCGCACCAGATGCTAATAGCAGCTGGCTGCTGCGGCACACTCCGGCGTGGCCACTTTGTGCAACATATACACTGCCTGCACTCGGTGCCGGTGGGGTGCAGCAACACTCGGTGCATTTTCCAACGTGGTGATCATGGCATCATTTGGCAAAGGATTTCATAATTTCCTAGGCCATGCCTAGGGTATGTCAGTCCGCCGGCATCCGAGCTTTGAAGCTGTGACTTTCACTTTACCAAGCGCCCTGTCTCGAGCAGTCTCGCAGCACGAGGGCAGTCTGGGTTTAGAACGCAAGGAACGCAACGCTGCGGGCATGACTCAGACCACGCCGTAGTTATCTACGAATGAGTGATCAGCCCATACCTACAAAGTCGCCAGACCATGAGATGAACGGAGCGATAGAAGCTACCGCTGGCCTGGGTAAGCGGTGCACGATGGCTCCATGGCCCGCGGTGCACGATGGCTCCATGGCCCGCTGCATCACTGGCTTCGAAAGTCTCGCACATGCCGAAATGACCACCGAAGAAGACGATTTTACGGCTTTAGGGGGGCTAGGGTTTAGGGCTCTGGTTTGACTCAAAGCAAAAATTTCGACGGGGAGGGCTTCCATGCAGATCGCAAAGGCCAAGAATGCACAGAGAGCTCGGGTCGGAAGCCTGCGTCAGCTGGACGCAAGAAGGCTAGCTTTGCCATGCTTTGGCGACTTGCCTGGAAACTTGACCGCCTTGCCCACCAGCCTGGACCTCGACGGTTTACCCGGAAACCGAAGGCCCGAGAGAGGTTCGCTGGCCGCTGGCAATGCGTAGACGGGACAGCTCTGGGACAGCATCTCTGAGTCATTGCAAGCTTCTGCTAAACCCAGAAATGTATCGTAGCACCAGAAAACCAAAACCGCAACAAGCCCCAAACTGACGAACTGCTGAGCCCTGAACCCCAGACCCTGAAAAGCAAGCAGCTCGAGGCTGGAAGTCCACGGCTTAGGGGTTTTCCGCAAGGGTTCCTACACTTTGCAAGGCTTCCAGACTGCACTTCGGCTTTGAGGTATTGCGTTTGCATATCGCGCAGAGGAGCGGCCCGTCCCATGCTTTGCTGCTCTCGTCACTTTCGCTGTCTACGAAGCCACGGTCTCCACTCTGCTCCGCCTGCCACTCGTGCATGGCGTCTCTAGAGTTTCAGGCTTACAACTTCCTGCATCCTCCACCGTTTCGAGGTCCACAACTTGGCATTAAGTCCTGCAGCAAAACAGCAGCCTTGTGTGCTTGAATGGCTGTATGGCATTACGGCTTGATGCGGATTTTGGACGTGGTGCACAAATCGCCAAGGCAGAATGATACTGGAAAAGGAGCATGTTGCACAAGCAGGTCACGCCAAGCTGATGTGAGCAGCGGCAGGTTTACAGCAAAGAGCTCTGCCAAGTGAAGCGCTTAAGACCACAAGGACAGCGGATGAGGAATTGCGGGGTGCTCTGGCTGGGGGGACTGAGGTGTCAGGATTGCCTTGGCTCTAAAGAACTTCAGTGTGCACACAGCTTGGGGCTTGAAGCCTACATGCAGGAACCCAAAGCCTGCAACTTAAGGTCGAAAGCCCACCAACTACTTCCTGCAATCTCAAAAAAAGCAGGGGGTGAAGTAAGATATCAAGCCCCTGCCTTCCAAACCAGACATTCCGTAGCCAGCTCGAGGAATGAAGCTTGCGGCTTCAAAGAAAACTGGACTGTGTTCCCTACGGACGGTTTAGGGTTTACGGTGCAGCACACCTGGAGTCTGGTTGCCAGGCGCCAAGCAAGATCCAAAGGATGCTGCCGGCAGCACTGCTTGGCAGCATGTCCCGAGGACCTTAGGCATTCTGGTTGAGAAAACTCTCGGAAAAATTTAGGCCTTTAGGCACATAAGAGTCTTGAGCCTACGGCCTGTGAGCGAATGTCTGGAAGATCCTTGCAAGTGCCGAGGCCGAGAACCGCGGCCTGGATGCTGCAGGAACCTCTCCGCTTCTGGCACCAGGACCCTTGTTCAACCACAAAGGTTTAGGCTTGCTGTGGGCCTTATTCAACCGCATGACTCATGAGGTCGGTATCCATACGTCTTGGAGGCGTGGCATGAAGACTTTTACTCTGCACTCCCATCTGCAGGCCATGCCGGCCTCAGCAAGGTGCAAGGCATACTGGCAGCACTCCGACCAAGTAGGGACATCTGCCATGCCAGCTCAGCTATACGAAAACAAAGCACAGTCACAGAGTCAACAGAAAGCATTCTTCTGGAGCTGTGGAACGTTCTTTTCCAAGCCAGGCACTTGCACCGGCTCTTCCAGGCATAGACTGCTTTGCACAGGCGGTCTGGGCTAGGTCAGGTTCCTGTGATCAAAGTGCAGCCTGGCCCGGCCGGTGCCCGGCGCATTCGCGCAGCGCCCGGCGTAGCCAGGGCAAGAAGTCGAACTACCCATAGCCCCCATAGTAGCTCCTTTTTGGGATTACCTTGTGGGATTCTAAATATGAACCCCAAAAAGGAACTACTATTGGGTAGAGACGAAGCTTCAAGCTCGGGCAGCCCACGCTCACCGCGTCAGCCCAATGGCTTTCGTCAACCCTCCCGGCTTGGCAAAGGCAGCTCCGCAGCGGACAGCCTCGACGTCGTTGTCAGCCGTCAGATGCAGCTGCCACTGCGGTGAGAAGCTCCAGAAGGTACAGGTCCTGCCCTGCCAACTCCCAGCCGGTCTTTACAGCTTTCCCACGCCAGCAACGTGCGGAGGTAGAGGCTCACCCAGAATGGAAACCCGAGTCCAGAACCCACGAGATTGAGCATGACACGTGCTCGGGCTAGCCTTCCAAGCTCTCTCTCTCCGTTCGCCGTTCCGGAGGACAGGGACACAGAGATGCTGAAGCGAAAAGAGGCAAGCAGATCCCTGCTCCGGAGCACATGCTGCCATCACCTAGGCCGAGGCCGAGGCTTCTTAGGACCTGAGCCTTGAAGCCATCGAAAACTCAGTCAGCTCGAAGTGCTTCGCGGTTCTCTGCAAGTAGGGCAAGTCAAAGGCTGAAGAAAGGCTTGCAGAAGACGCGCCCCGGGATGGACAGGGCTCTCCGAGTAATCACGGGCCACGTCACGCCCCGGCTTTCAAGAGCAAGGTGGATACCATTGGATACCTAAGGACTGGATTGCAGAGTCGTTGTTCATGAAGACCAGCGGTGAGCACCGGTCGCCATGCGAGAGGGCACTTGCCAAGAAAGGTGGCTGGACACAGACGCGTGTAGTTGCAGGGGGCATGGTCTGCCTAGCATGGCTTGGCATGGGGAGTTCGAACTTCCCAGAAACAGCTCAAGGTGAATCTCTGGACCTGCTCTGTCCCTACGAGAATCACGCTCTCAAGCTGCCGTGTCTTGGAGCCCAGCACATTGCAAAGCAGGGAGGGTCCGCGTGTATCTTACGCAGACCTCAGTTGCCAGGTAGAGCCCAAAAGCGGGCAACTACCCGAAAAAACGTCGCCCGCATGGCCCGCGGATTCTGTGGCAAGGGGGCTGAGTCCTGGTGGCAGAGTGACTCAGGCGACCAGGCGGATGCATCCTCTGTGACTGCTACCCAATGCGGGCCCGCCTAGCTTCCTAAAGCTCAGGCACTTCGCATCGCCTGTTGCGAGTTTGCCAAAGCTAGCAACAAAACCCCCCTTAAAGTTTAGGGCCTTGGACAAGCTGGTGGAACCGTTGCATGTTCGGGCCTTCCGGCCTATCTTGACTGACAATTTGACCTCTGAAGACGAATTAGGACTGGTGCCTGAAAAGATGTGTCGTGGTACGACGCATGAGCTGTGGAACGGCGATACCTCACCCACGAAGATGCTTGGCATCTTCGGGGGCGCGCAAAGGAGGCTGTCTACGCAGGTGCGCAAAAGAAGCAAGCGGCTGCTGCAATCCGCTTCAAGGCACGGCTTGCCTCAAAAGCCCCTTCGAAGCCCCATCACGGCTCTTTGCTTCCCGTCTTTTTGTTCAAGCTTAGGCATCGACAAGGGGCCGAAAGATCTGGCAAGATCTACGGTGTCGAAGTACCATCGCCGGCTAGCTAGCAAGCCCAAAAAAAACCGAACTTTTGCTGCAAAAACCTTTGCATGAAGCTGTCGGCCCGAAGCGGCGCAATGGCTTCCATGGCAGAACTTCGGAATCGATGTCAGACGGTACGCTAGAGTCAGGCTGTTGGAACAGCACGTGTGTTCGAACAACGTTGAGGTCTATGGAACACTTCACTACACTGCAAACTTGAAAGGCTTGAGCCCAGCGCGCGCACATGCTGAAGTAATCGCGTGTTGAAAACACCCCCACTGTGATCGCGTCAGATTAGCATGTCGGCAGGGCAAAGAACTTCAGCTGGCAAGCTGCCAGCAATAATATACACATGTCATGGACCAATCGCGTAAACAAGTCACGGAAACAACCAGTTCTGATCGGACTTACAGTCTAAGAAATCTATGACTGCTTCGAGGCGTGCAAGAAGTGCGTCCCAAGATCTGACTGCTAGACCTGATTCAACTGCTTTGTCGTGCATGGCATGCTGTTACCTAGTAGGGTTCGGTTTGGCGATTTGAAGGTCCACTAAATCAAAGAAGCAGCCGGCTCGCAAGTTCGGCTTCCAGAAAAGGCCACCAACCTCAGAGACCCGCCTCTGGTGAGCGTGAGGCTTTCCATCTGCATCATGCTAGGGTTTCGGCAGTCGAATCACACGGAAGATTGCGGTTTACTCGCTCCGAGCTGAAGTCTACTAGCAGAGTTGTTGCAAACAGCAAAGACAGAAGGTAGAACACGTGTACAAACACGCACATGCAGTTCGTGAGCCTTTCGAGCCTCATGGCTATCTTAACATCACAACACCTTGCACACTACCATCTTGAAACGTTGTAAACTACTAGGACGTAGGCCGATCTTCTCAGCTATTGTAACAACTTGCACGGTTGCTCCTAACGTGCCCCTACAGACGTGTCTTCGGACCCACAGCCCCTGCAAGAACTCGTTTGATACGCAACTGGCAAGCATAGCGAAGCTCGAGATTCCAGTACTCGTCGCTTCGAGGGGTCCAATTCTCTTCTGCCGTCACGACGGGACCCCCATTTTCAGATGCCCAGAAGGAAGACGAGGCCGTGCTGGACCCCGTGTTGCAGCCTGCTGTCCACCGCACCCCGTGAGGAAGGAGGGCTCGTCTCAAACTGCCGGGCAAAGAGCTCCGAGGCTTGCAGAGCGGCGGTTAGGGCTTAGGTTGCCTTAGGGTCCTTAGGGTTTAGGGGTGCATCTGCAAGGATGAGATGTCCCTGCTGCACCGTAGGCCTCACTGCACATGAGCTGTCGGAATTTGCATTCGCAACCTCTACGCTTGCACGAGTGTCCGACCACCACGGCCGTGAGCCAGCTCACAGGAGCGAATGTGCAGTTCGAAGAGCCCTAGAACCGCGAACTCTATAGGCTCTAAGCCCCAAACAGTCACATCCCAGCTGCGTTTAAAGCGAAAAAAGGAGACTAAGACTTCTCTTGCAGCAGTTCTCTCAAAAAGCACGAGGACCAAAACTCCACAAAGATCGCTTCATCCGGTGACTTCGTGCTAGCAGTGGCCAGGACTCGGCTCTTCGGAGCGCCTTGCCTGACAGCGGCTCAAGGAGGTTCAAGGTGTACGTTTCCTTCATTGAAATAGGGATTTAAAAACATCCTCCCTTCCTACCTAGAAATCACCTTCATTCCTAGATTCCAAGATTTCAAAACTCCTAGATTTTCGGCTAAGCATGGTCGAGGTTGAGCTCCCTGGCGCTAGGGGGCGAGGCTCTGGTCCTCGCCGAGCGCCCGAAGCCCTAGACGGCCCGGGCCCCCGAGTGCCTGCAATCTGGATCCGAAAAAAGCCGCATTAGAGTCAGCCCAGACCCGGCCCCTGATGCCCTAAACCCTTTCTAAGCGAGCCTAAAATGCCTCAAGCATCCTAGGCGGACAGCCTACGAAGGGGACCTTGGCGGATGCGTCCCAACAAGGGCCATAAGAAGCTAGGGCGTCTCTTCCCCAAGCCTTCCAGGATGCCTCTGCAACGGTCTCGGTCTCACCCGTGTTGTCCTTGTCGAAGTCACGGTCGAAGCCGGCTGCCTTTCCCACGCTTTCCGTGAGTTTGGCTTCCTCTTGACCTTCAGGCCTTCCAAGACGGCAGCCAGAGGCCACGGATTGCAGGCGAGCCGCCGCGCCCTTTTGCGACAGCCTCCGGGAGAGACCATGGGACGGGAAATCCGACAGCGCACTCGGAAGAATGGCGCAGACGTCGGAAAGGAAGGGGTGCATCGCGCCGAAGCCAAGCTCCCAGAAACTTGCGACTTCAGGGCTTCAGGCTTTGGTTGCAAACCTTGACGGCTGATGTGATGTTGCAAGACATTCCGAGCGAAGTCTTGTCAGCAACTACGTTATGAACGAATCTTGTATACGACCTTCAACATTTTAGGGCTTTCGAAAAGCGGCCCATGTCCGACGGACGTGCCTCGGCCTGAACCTCAGGTGTTGGGCTCTAGGCTAGGCGTGGGCGTTCGAATCGGAAGGGGGACCACTTCAAATTCAGCAGCAACACCTGCTCGTGCAGGTGTTCCCTGTGTCACGGTCGAGCATACCTTTGCAAACCCCCAGCCGTCTCACTGCGTCGTGGCCTCCGAGCAGCTTGTCTCGTTCGCGCAGCTAAGTGCAAGAGGGATCCTGCTGCCTCTTTCCCTGCGCCTAACTCCAACCCAAAAGCCGAAGCGGCCTCAAAGGCTTCTGACCTCCACGGAAGGGTTCTCCGAGATTGCCGAGTCCGAGAAGTGCCGTACGTCTTAGCAGGGCCTTTAGTGTTGATCGCTCTGGGTTTTGCGACCGAGCCACAACGCGGGACTTGCGAGCCAACGGTTGAGAATTTTGGGGTTTGGGGTTTATGCAGGCAGTCTTGGGACAATCCAGAAGCGAATCACTGGTGGATCAACTACATAAGGTATGACGGCTCAAAGGATCTAAAGAGATCTGTACTGTCTCCAGAGCACATCAAAATCCTGTAACATACAAGGACCAGGGACACGTGGTGCACTTGGCGAATAAACCTTACCAAGAGCCTTCCGAAATGGTGCCCAAGCCTGAAATGACTGTAACGCCCGAATTGAAACACGATCACAGGACGCCACAGGCCTCATGCATAGAGATTTCACAGGTTTCTGGTTTTGGGGTGTTTTGGGCTTAGAGTCAGGCATCAGACTTGGTCAGATGTTTGGCATCAGGGCCTGGGCTCCAGGCTCAAGAAGAAGCTAGTTGGGCCGAGGTTGGGCGATTTGCGGGCCCAGTCCTGTAACAGAAACCCCTTCCTCCTAAACCCTAAAACCCGAATCCTTTCAAGGGCTCTCTAAGTTTGCCCAGACTTCTCGTTTCCAGGGTCCAAGGCTCCAGCTCTTGGTACAAGAGCTCGACTGACTGCATTCTTATACCGGACCGAGCCTGATGCTGCGAAGCGAGGCCGAGGCGCTGTGCTGCCCTAAGGCCTTCGCAGGCTTCTTGGAACGGGCAGGGGCGAAACGCCCTTTGGGCCTCAGGTCCGAGGCTTCGGGACGCTTTGGCGCTTCAGAACCTCGAGGACTGGCGTTGGGTTGAAGAGGGGCAAAGCGAGCGCATGCACATAGTTCGAACAGATGGCCGTGAGTGTGAGTCGGATTCCAGGCAGCGGCGCACGAGTCGCACGAATGGCTTGCAAGCTTTGCATGTTCCACGGCTCACAGAGGGCGGAGGCTCAGCTGCTCAGCTGCTCGGCTAGGGGAGGCGCAACTGAAACCATCCCGGCGCCACCAGGGAGCCCTCAGCACTCGTCGCTTCGCTACACTATCCGAGCGCTTTTCATGGCAGGCTCGCTCAAACCGGGCTGAAGGTGATGCGAATGCCAAACTTCTCACGGGAAACGACGGGCGGGCGCTCACATGCCGCCCGGCAGAACATTACAAGAACTGAGAGGTTCTCACCGCTTGACCTGTCCCTTCAGGACATGCCTATGTCAGAAGGGACTGTAGCTGTGTCTGCCAGACATCTCCGCAAGCTCCGGCACGGCTGACTTGCAGGCTTTGTTCCAGGCAGTATTGCCAAGAAAGTGGGTCCGCCAGGCCAGGGTGCGCTGGCGGATCATTCCAAAGTCGGGCCGCAAAAAAGGTCACGAATTTTGTACCTTTTGCCTTTCATTGCTCCCTCTGAGCTGGAGGGCATCACGATTATCCCATGGTGTCGATAGTAAACCGCCAAAACTCTACATTGCGCCGACCTCACGCGCAGGTATGGTACGATAAGGGATGCCAAAATCAAGGATATCGCTCCTCGGCTGTTGGAACAGAGCAGGGATGCAATGTTGTCATCCTGAAACTGGAGTCACTGCTCACGTGCACGTTGTGACGCTCTCTGGTGTCTTCTGCCTTCCCGAGCAGGCAACGCCAGGCATTCAAGGAGTTGGAGCCTTGCTACAAAACCAAGCATCGCGTTGGGCCGTCCAGAATCCGCACAGATTCATCTTCGGAACATTTCGGTGTGTGAATGCCCGCTGTGTGCCTGCGTCGCCTGATGTGCAACAATCCTTGGGCACCCGCCAACAACATGTCCAGTCAAAACAAGGTGAATCAACTCTTCCGTAGTCATGTCCCTGCTACAGCCTGATGTCCCTGCCGCTTCTGCATCTCCTTGAAGTACTATGCTTCAGCCGGAACCGAGTCATGGCAGAACTCTGGCTTTGCCTGCGACTGTCTTGTCTGATGCTGCGCACCACCAGCCACACACACCGCCGGAAGGGTTCATCCAGCTGCAACGACACTCAGGCCAGTCACGCAACTCTTGCAGCTTCCACAACTGACGGCTCGAATGAGTAAAATGGCCTGCAAACCGTCGCTGGGTAAGGACAGCTCAAAGCTTAAGAACCGCCAGCAAAGACCCTTCTACAACGTCTTCGTCAAGCAGGTGCAGTGGACGTTGAAAGTTGCACTCAGATCACGATGCAAGCTTGCACTCCCGTGCGGGGTCGCACACAAGGGACCGCTGAGCTCAGCAGCCTTTTGGGAATGAAGGAACGATTCGCGGGAGAAATCAAAATCTCAGACCTTGCAGACCTCCGATACCGGCCCAGCAGGAAGCCTCCAAGACAGCAGCTTCAGTCTGAGGCTGCAAAATCTCAGAAGGGACTTGCGCCTCCGCCTCCACTTTGTGCAACATATACACTGCCTGCACTCGGTGCCGGTGGGGTGCAGCAACACTCGGTGCATTTTCCAACGTGGTGATCATGGCATCATTTGGCAAAGGATTTCATAATTTCCTAGGCCCAGGCCATGCCTAGGGTATGTCAGTCCGCCGGCATTCGAGCTTTGAAGCTGTGACTTTCACTTTACCAAGCGCCCTGTCTCGAGCAGTCTCGCAGCACGACGGCAGTCTGGGTTTAGAACGCAAGGAGCGCAACGCTGCGGGCATGACTCAGACCACTCCGTAGTTATCTACGAATGAGTGATCAGCCCGTCCCTGCGAAAAAGTCGCCAGACCATGAGATGAAAGGAGCGATAGAAGCTACCGCTGGCCTGGGTAAGCGGTGCACGATGGCTCCGTGGCCCGCTGCACCACTGGGATTAGAAAGGAAGATCCCGTCTCACACATGTCGAAATGACCACAGAAGAAGATGATATTACGGCAGTAGGGGCTAGGGTTTAGGGTTCTGGTTTGACTCAAAGCAAAATTCTCGACGGGGAGGGCTCCCATGCAGATCGCAAAGGCCAAGAATGCACAGAGAGCTCGGGTCGGAAGCTTGCATCAGCGGGACGCAAGAATGCTAGCTTTGCCATGCTTTGGCGACTTGGCCGCCTTGGCCCCCAGCTTGGACCTTGAGAGTTTTCCGGACAGCCGAAAGCCCGGTAGAGGCCCGCCGGCAGCTGGCAATGCGTAGCCGGGACAACTTGCCAGCTTCTGGGACAAGATCTCTGAGTCAGGGCTTAGAAGCCCAGAAATGGGTCGTAGCACCAGAAAACCAAAACCGCCACAAGGCCCAACTGGCAAGCTGCTGAGCCCTCAGCCCTGGACCCTAAAAGGCAGGCAGCTTTAGTAATTTAGGCTGGAAGTCCACGGCTTTAGGGTTTTGGGGAAGTCCACGGCTTTAGGGTTTTGGTTCCTACAAGGGTTCCAAACTGATTCTGTAAGGGTGCATTTCGGCTTTTGAGGTATTGCGAGTTACCTTTGGGCATCTGCGTAGAGGAGCGGCCCGTCCCATGCTTTGCTACTCTCGTCACTTCCGCTGTCTACGAAGCCACGGCCTCCACTCTGCTCCGCCTGCCACTCGCGCATGGCGTCTGCAAGCTTCAGGCTTACAACTTCCTGCATCCTCCACGGTTTCGAGGTCCGCAAGTTGGCACTAAGTCCGGCAGCAAAACAGAAGCCTTGTGAGCCTGAATGGCTGTATGGCCTTAGCGCTTGATGCGGACTTTGGATGTGGTGCACAAATTGCCAAGGCACCATGATGCTGGAAAAGGATCATGCTGCACAAGCAGGTCACGCCAAGCTGATGTGAGCAGCGGCCGGTTTACAGCAAAGCGCTCTGCCAAGTGAAGCGCTTGAGACCACGAAGACGGCGGATGAGGAATTGTGGGGTGTAGGGTTCAGGGTTGCCTGCGGTGTCAGGATCGCCTTGGCTCTAGAGAACTTCAGTGCGCACACAACGGGCTTGAGGCATGCAGGAATCTAAAGCCTGCAACCTAAGGTCGAAAGCCTACTAACTACTTGCGTGGGCTGTAATCTCAAGCAAGCAGGGGGTGAAGTAAGATATCAAGCCCCCGCATTCCAAACCAGACATTCCGTGGCAAGCTCGAGGAATGAAGCTTGCGGCTTCAACGACAACTGAACTGTGTTCCCTACGGACGGTTTAAGGTTTACGGCTTGGCACACCTGGAGCCTTGTTGCCAGGTGCCAGGCAAGATCGAAAGGATGCTGCCGGCAGCACTGCTTGGCACATGTCCCAAATCCACTAAGCATTCTGGTTGAGAAAACTGTCGGACAAACTTAAGCCTTTAGGCCTTCCGGTTGAAGAAAACTCTCGGACACTTTTAGGCATAGGAGAGTCTGGAGCCTGTGGCCTGGCGCGAGCGAAAGCCTGGAAGATCCTTGGAAGTGCTGAGGCCGAGAACCGTGGCCTGGATGCTAGAAGAAGCTCTCCACTCCGAGTACCAGGGCCCTTCTTCAACCATATGGGTTTAGGGTTTAGGGCTAAGGGTTTAGGGTTTCGGGTAGGAAGGGGCAGTATTCAACCACATGACTCTGGGGTTGGTGTCCAGGGTTTCTTGAAAGCCTTGATGAACCTTACTCAGCACCATGCCGGCCTCAGCAAAGTGCAAGGCATACTGGCAGCACCCCGACCAAGTAGGGACATCTGCCATGTCAGCGCACCCATACAAAAGCAAAGCACAGTCACAGAGTCAACAGAGAGCGTTCTTCTGGGGCTCTGGAACGTTCTTTTCCAAGCCAGGCACTTGCACCGGCTCTTCCAGGCATGGACTGCCTTGCGCGGGGAGCCTGGACTGGGTTCCTGTGATCAAAGCGCAGCTGCCCCGGGATGGACAGGGCTCTCCGAGTAATCCCGGGCCACGTCACGCCCCGGATGCCCCGGCTTTCAAGAGCAAGGTGGATACCTCAGGACTGGATTGCAGAGTCGTTGTTCATGAAGACCAGCGGTGAGCACCGGTCGACATGCGGGAGGGTACTTGCCAAGAAAGGTGGCTGGACACAGACGCGTGTAGTTGCAGGGGGCATGGTCTGCCTAGCATGGCTTGGCATGGGGAGTTCGAACTTCTCAGAAGCAGCCCAAGGTGAATCTGTGCACCCGATCTGTCCCTACGACCCTACGAGAACCACTCTCTCAAGCTGCCGTGTCTTCGAGCCCAGCACATTGCAAGGCAGGGAGGGTCCGCGTGTATCTTACGCAGACTTCAAGTTGCAAGGTAGATCCAAGAAGCGGGCAACCAACCCGAAAAACCATCGCCCCTATGGCCCATGGATTCTGTGGCAAGGGGGCTGAGGCTGAGTCCTGCTCGCAGAGTGACTCCAGCGACCAGGCCGGATGCATCTTCTGTGATCGCTCCCGCCTACCTTCCTAAAGCTCAGGCACTTCGCATCGCCTGTCGCGAGTTTCCCAAAACACCTCTTTAGGTTCGGGGCCTTGGACAAGCTGGCGGAACCGTTGCATATTCGGCCTCTAAGGACGAAGTAGGACTGGTGCCTGGAAAGAGCATTGCGGTATGACGCATCTGCTGCGGAACGGCAATACCTCACCCACGAAGATGCTTGACATCTTCCGGGGTGCGCAAGGGAGGCTGTCTATGCAGGTGCGCAAAAGAAGCGAGCGGCTGCTGCAATCCGCTTCAAGTCTTCAAAAGCCCAATCGAAGCCCCATCACGGCTCTTTTCTTTCCGTCTGTTTGTTCAAGCTTAGGCATCGACAAGGGGCCGAAAGATCTGGCAAGATCTACGGTGTCTAAGTAGCAGCGCCGGCTAGCTAGCAAGCCCAGAAAACCCAATTTTTTGCTGCAAAAACCTTTGCATGAAGCTGTCGACCTGAACGGGCGCAATGGCTTCCATGGCAGAACTTCGGAATCGATGTCAGACGGTACGCTGGCGTCAGGCTGTTAGAACAGCATCTGTGTTCGAACCATGTTGAGGTGCATGGAACATTTCACTACACTGCAAACTTGAAAGGCTTGAGCCCGACGTGCGCACATGCTGAAGTATTCGCGTGATTAAGAAAATGCCAAACCTAAGTTCTGCAACCGAATGAGTCGAATGTTTTGTCTCAAGACTTTTCGGCTCAATTTATAGGTTTGGTATCAGGGACACTGCCATAACGGTTCGCTCCTGGGCGGCTTTCGCTGAACGATGTTTGGCGGCGACCTTCGTCGAGAGCTGGCTGCCTTGGTGGCCGTCTGCTCAGGGTGAACCACTGAACCACCCTTGGGCGAACCGCCCAATGGCCCCACCTCTATGAGCACTTCCGTCTGGTGGAGCGAATGGAACTTCAAAGTCCTCTTTGGGTAGACCAACTTTGCCGTTTCTCCACCCCCGATACCCGGGGCTCATTGGGGACAAATGGTGGCTGGGCAGTCTATTTCGTCGACAAGTTGGGTGGATCTGCTTTGGTCAGTATTGGCCAGTGGCTGGGTGGACCACCCTTGCGGTTTTGGTCACCCTTCTGGTCACTGCTCTTGCTTGGTCATTTGTGAGCGATGCCTTTGCTGCGGGTATGGGTGCTGCCGTAAAGGAGGCAGCATACGGGTACCGCAGCGGACCCGGCCCTTAGGCACTTGCCGGAGACGCCGGTCCCTCCTGCTCACGCCCGAGTGGCTTTGGTGGGGCCTAGCAGTTCTACACGGTCAACACGGAGTACTACCAGAAAAAGGACCCCATGACCTGGTGCTGCGCTTTGCTGGCGGGGCCGTTAGGGTTCAACCCGATTGGACTCACCGGAATTGGGTGGACCGCCATGGACTGTGGGTCAAACCAGGCCGAGTTCTTGGCGTAACCGCCCGCACTCTGCGAGAGGCCATCGAGCGTGCTCCTCAAGTGCATCTCTGCCGCTCTGAGGATTGTCAACAAGAAGGCGAGATTCACTGCAAGGAGTATGCTGCCATTGAGGCCGACACGGTCATCGACCTGTTGGCTTACGGTCTGACTACGGCATCAGAACATGATCCCCCGACAAGAGCTGAGCGTTCCGCCCATCCGAAGGTTGGTGCCCGTCCTGGTTCGACTCCACCCCTTTTTCGGGGTAGGGTCGGCCTCACTTTGGTACCTCTTCTTAAGAGAAGTAGAAGGGGTCTCAGAGGATAGCCAAAGAGCCGCCCTAACATTCTCTCGGAATCCGCGTTAGTTTACGGTGGCACTACTTGGGTGAACCACCCCAAACGGATCCGTCCGCAAGGTATCCGAAGGCCTGGCTGCAGGAGTTTTTCTACTCTCCGCCTAAAGAACTCGAAGCGAGAGAGCTCTGAGTGCAAGCCGTTCAATTGGCCCAGTGGCTCAAGGAGCGTGGCGTAGCTGGTCATACTGGGTCATGACAGGGGCATTCTTAGACACCCAGTCAAGTGCGGGAAGGTGGGTTTGGGACTCCCCCACGCCCAGCTTCAGTGTCAGTTGCTGAGGTCGCTCGCAAGGAAAGCTGGAAGGCGCTCCGCCCGATGTGGACTCCTGAAGAGCGACCACCCAGGCCGAAGATGTCTCCCGAGCCTACAAGAAGACTGCCATCAAGCTCCACCCGGACAAGAGCCCGCCGGAGGAGCAAGAGATGGCGCCGGTGCGCACGCAGGCCTCCGCAGCAGCCACGACAAACATCGTGGAGTTGCCCCCACCTGGCTCAGCGCCACATGGTGGATCAGCGGGACCGCCCGGATGGTGGCAGAATCAGGCGCCACCGCCCTCAGGCACCATTAATGTTGGGGGGATGCTTGGTGCATGACCTGTGGCTGCATACGTCCAGCACCAGCGAAGGCAGCAAGCGGAAGTCGAAGGGCAAGAAGGGGCACAAAGGCCTTCATTACGGTAAATGAGCCGATGCCCCACCTGCCTCTCACGGTGGAAAAGGCTGCCTTTCACCATAGCACCCAAGTCAGTTTACTTTGAAAAGGAAAAGAGCAAGGCGTACCGCCAAAACACCCTCCCTCCACCACCTACGCCTACGTCTCCAGCTATGGTCCGGGGGACTTTGCAGCGGAAGCCACGACCAATCCTGGACCTGGGAGATCCAGAGCATGTCAGGACGTTCCGCCCCGGACCCGGCTCCGAAGAAAGCAGAGGTCCTAGAGAGGAAGAGCGGCCAATGGCCATCGTGGTCCCGAACGGTGAGGTTGATGAAAGCACTCCTCGCCTGGTGCTTCCGTGGTCCTTGTTCCAGCATGTGGTCATGTGTTACCGACCTTCAGTCCTGGGGCAGAGTTGGTGTGATCGTGATCCGCCGGGTTGCTCAATATATTCTTCATTGGGCACAAAAGAAAGGTTACATGTCCAATCCTGCAAGCCAACCATGGCAACCGCGTGCTTTATGGATCTACATGGGGCTGATCCGGAACCACAAGGAGATCAACCTCGCCACAGGCAACCACCGCCACGTCTTCACCTTCCAGGACTTCCTGCGGAACCCAAGTTTAGGGCAGCACTATATCGAGCAGGAGAGGGCCCACCAAGACCCGGGCGGACCGCCCTTCTCTGCCTTTACCCATGAGCCACTTCACCCGATAACCGTTGGCGACCAGCGCGCAAACAACGTGATGGGTCGTTGGGCCAATCGATCTCTTGGGGGAAGAACCAGCGGTGCCTCCGGATGCGGGCGCACCGCTAGTGTCAACACGAGCGTACGGCCCCTCCGGCTGCTTCTGGGTCAAGCAAGACAGCGCAAAGAGCCACTCATTGGGAATGCCGGCACTGCCCGCTGTGCAATCGGGAGAAAGCCGTGTGCATTATCTCTGACGATGAAGCTGACCCTGACGTCGAGCTGGATGAGGAGGAGAGAGCAGAGGTGGCCCGCTTGGAGCAGGAATGCAGATTTGGAGCGGCGGAGGCGAGGGCTGAACGCCGGCCAGCAGAGGACCCTCCTTAAGAACCTGGCGAACATCTCCGCGGTCATGGGAGGGCAACTTGATGATACGATCAAGCGAACCGCCCAGATCCGTGACCGAGGAGCTCGCGAGGGGTCGGGCAACGCGAAGGTCAAGGCCACCCAGCTCACCGCCAACAACGATCCGAAATACATTTCGGATCTGGCCAGTGGGATGGGCCATGTGGCTATTCAAAGGCAGAGGTCCCGCCTGAGAGCGGTGCAGTTTCAAGTTGCCCAAACAACAGTGGCGCTACAGCCCCGAGCCACACCGGTCCAGACCGTGAGGACCTTCCCTCCAATGATGAGCTTAGGGAGGGCTCATCGGAGCACCTCCTCAACCGGCTTGATCGGCTCGAGATGCAAGAAGTACGATGGACGACTGACGAGGTGGCCGGCTGTTACACGATGCAGTTCCTCGACTACTTCGAAGCCCATGTGGAAGCAGAGGCCGAGGGATCAGCCCCCGGCCACAGCTTCCAAATCAGCCAGGCACTCCGCCCCCCCACCCTTTCGTCCGGCTACATCGCCTCCTACCAGGACGAGTTCCCCTTCGGCGACCTCTACCACCGCAGCCGGGCGGCCAGATCCTCCTGCTGTGGCGATCCGCCCAAAGAACGAGACGATGGGCAACGATCGACCGGAAGACCAACCCTCAAGCTCTATGTCACTGGAGCAGAAGCCGACCTGCCTGACCTGACGAGGCAAGGCAGGCGGCGGTCGGCTGCTGTTTCCTTTAGGTGCTTTGCTGAGCAAGGCACACAGGCGAGTAAGCTCTGTGTACAGGCGCTCCGCCCAGAATCGAAGCCTTCGGGCTTTAAATTTGTACAGCCGTTGGCAGAACCGTTTTTATGGCTGTCCGCCCCTTTTGCTGTGATTGCTTTGCAAGTTGGGGCAATGCCTCGAAGACGAAAGCAGCAGTCCGAACGGATCCGGAATAAGTTTGTTCGTCGTGCTTGCCCCTTCCCCCCTTTTGTTCTGCAGGACTGCGCTCTTAGTCATGACACGTGCTGCTTACGGGTTTTTGAATAGTGGCGGCAGAGGCTTTTCCAAGGCCCGCAGTGAGCGAACTTTCTCGAACAACAACCTTCGGCGAACCGCTCTGTTGCCCGTTGCAGCACGAAAGAGTGTCACGCGTAGTGTGTATTGTCCGCTCTGTTGGTACTGCAGAATGTGAGCATGCAGAACAGCTGGCTAGCTGCTAACAAACATACACACATGTCATGGACCAGGTTCATAAAACAAACCAATCGCCGAACCGTAATACCACCTAAACAACATAGATGCAAAAAAACATTTGATCCGTGCCTCCCTGAGCTTCGTTAGAAACGTGGAAGACGACAACGGTTTCCATGCTAGGAAATCTGAGAAGAAGTAAGATGACGGCCGTTACATTATGGTATGACTCGCATCGGAGCCGGCTTAAACGGCCAGGGGCTCTTTCATTTCTCTCCACGAACCTCTTTCCCCTCCTCTCTTTCCTCAGTCTTGGAATCTTTGGCATCAGGCCGCCCTGAGCTGGAAGCAACCACAAAAGATGCGGCAAAAATGTTGCACGCAGCAAAAACACAAGGTAGAGTATGTGTACAAACAGACGCATGTACTTCGTAAGCCTCTCGAGCCTCGTGGCTATCTTAACGTCAAAACGTGCATACTACCATTACGACAATCGTTAATCGCTGTAGGCGACAAGGACGCAGACGAGGCCGATCTTCTCAGCTATTGTAACAACTTGCACGGTTGCTCCTAAGGTGCCCCTAGAGATGTGTCTTCGGACCCAAAGCCCCCGCAAGAACTCGTTTGATGCGCAACCGGCAAGCATAGTGAAGCCCGAGATCCCAGTGCTCGTCGCTTCGAGGGGTCCAATGCTCTTCTGGCGTCACGACGGGACCCCTAAAATCAGATGCCCGGAAGGAAGACGAGGCCGTGCTGGGCCCCTTGTTGCAGCGTACTGTCCACCGCACCCGGTGTGGAAGGAGGGCTCGTCTCAAACTGCTGGGCAAAGAGCTCCGAGGCTTGCAGAGCTGCGGTTAGGGCTTAGGATGCCTTAAAGTCCTTAGGGTTGAGGGATGCATCTGCAAGGATGAGATGTCCCTGCTGCACACTCAATGCACATGAGCTGTCGGACATTGCATTCGCAACCGCCATGCTTGCACGTGTGTCCGACCACCACGGCCGTGAGCCAGCTCACCGGAGCGAAAGTGCAGTTTGCAGAGGCCCTGAACCCTACAGGCCCTAAGCCGCAAACCGTCACATCTCAGCTGCGTTTAAAGGCCGAAGACTTGTCTTGTAGCAGTTCTCTCAAAAAGCACGAGGACGAAAACTCCACAAAGATCTCTGCATCCGGTGCCTGCGTGCGAGCAGTGGCCAAGACTCGTTCAAGGTGCACTTTCCTTCATTAAAAAGGGTTTTTAAACATAACATATCCTCCCTTCCTAGATTCCTTGAATTCTAGCTAAGCATTGTCGAGGTGGAGCTCCCTGGCACTTCGGATGCTTTGTGAGCTCTCTGAGGGGCCGAGGCTCAGGTCTTCCCCTAGACGGCCCGGGCCCCGACCTCCCTGCAGTCTCGGTTTCCTGAAAAAGTTGAAGGCCCCATTAGACTCAGCCCAGACCCGGCCCCTGCAGCCCTAAACCTTTCTAAGCGGGCCTAAAATGCTTCAAGCATCCTGGGCGGACGGCCTACGGAGGGGACCTTGGCGGATGCGTCCCAACAAGGGCCATAAGAAGCTAGGGCGTCTCTTCCCCGAGCCTTCCAGGATGCCTCTGCAACGGTCTCGGTCTCACCCGTGTTGTCCTTGTCGAAGTCACGGTCGAAGCCGGCTGCCTTTCCCACGCTTTCCGTGAGTTTGGCTTCCTCTTGACCTTCAGGCCTTCCAAGACGGCAGCCAGAGGCCACGGATTGCAGGCGAGCCGCCGCGCCCTTTTGCGACAGCCTCCGTGAGGGACCATGGGCCGGGAAATCCGACAGCGCATTGGCGCTCGGAAGAATGGCGCAGACGTCGGAAAGGAAGGGGTGCATCGCGCCGAACCCAAGGGCCCAGAAACTTGAGACTTCAGGGCTTCAGGCTTTGGTTGCAAGCCTTGACGGCTGATGTGATGTTGCAAGACATTCCGAGCGACGTTTTGTCAGCAACTACGTTATGAACGAATCTTGTATACGACCTTCAACATTTTAGGGCTTTCGAAAAGCGGCCCATGTCCGACGGACGTGCCTCGGCCTGAACCTCAGGTGTTGGGCTCTAGGCTAGGCGTGGGCGTTCGAATCGGAAGGGGGACCACTTCAAATTCAGCAGCAACACCTGCTCGTGCAGGTGTTCCCTGTGTCACGGTCGAGCATACCTTTGCAAACCCCCAGCCGTCTCACTGCGTCGTGGGATGCATTGACCCTCCGAGCAACTTGTCTCGTTCGCCGGCTTCTTCGGCAATTCGGGGCCACGGAGATTCCAGCAGCTAATTGAAAGAGGGATCCTGCCGCCTCTTTCCCTGCGCCTAACTCCAACCCAAGAGCCTAAATCTCTAAAGGGATGATCGAAGCGGCCTCAAGGGCTTCTGGCCTCCACGGAAGGGTTCTCCGAGATGGCCGAGTCCGAGAAGTGCCGTACGGCCTTTACGGTTGATCGCTCTGGGTGTTGCGACCGAGCCACAACACGGGACTTGCGAGTCAACGGTTTAGAATTTTAAGGGTTTTGGGTTTTCGTTTAAGGTTTTGGGGTGTTTTGGGCTTAGAGCCAGGCATCAAACTTGGGGATGAACCTTCGAGGCTCCAAGCATTTGCAGTGTTCGATGCCCTCAATGCTTTTTCAGATGTTTGGCATCAGGGCCTGGTCTTCAGGGTGTAAGGATTCTTGGGAAATAGCCCTTTGAGGTCAGTGAGCTCAAGAAGCTAGCTGGGCCGAGGTTGGGCGGTTTGCGGCCCAGTCAAGAACCTCTCCTGTAACAGAAACCCCTTCCTCCTAAATCCTAAAACCCGAATCCTTTCAAGGGCTCTCCAAGTTTGCCCAGCCTTCTCGGAGTCCCCAGAACCCTCACCTCCAGCTCTTGGTACAAGAGCTCGACTGACTGCGTTCTTATACCGGATCGAGCCTGATGCTGCGAAGCGAGGCCGAGGCGCTGTGGGCAGCTTCCCCCTCCGCTCTCAGCTGCCCTAAGGCCTTCGCAGGCTTCTTGGAAGGCGCAGGGGAGTCAAGGTAAGGCGTTGGGAACGGAGCGTGCGTAGAAACGCACTTTGGGCCTCAGGTCCGAGGCTTCAGGGCGCTCTGGCGCTTCAGGTCAAGCTGAGACCGAGCTCCGAGAATTCCAAAAACGAGAGACTCAGCGAGACAGGTATTGGAGAGGGGCAAAGCGAGCGCATGCACCTAGCTCGAACAGATGGCCGTGAGCGTGAGTCGCATTCCAGGCAGCGGCGCACGAGTCGCACGAATGGCTTGCAAGCCTTGCATGTTCCACGGCTCACAGAGGACGGAGGCTCAGCTGCTCAGCTGCTCGGCTAGAGGAGGCGCAACTGAAACCATCCCGGCGCCACCAGGCAGCCCTCAGCACTCGTCGCTTCGCTACTCTATCCGAGCGCTTTTCATGGCAGGCTCGCTCAAACCGGGCTGCAGGTGATGCGAATGCCAAACTTTTCACGGGAAACGACGGGCGGGCGCTCACATGCTGCCCGGCAGAACATTACAAGAGCTGAGAGGTTCTCACCGCTTGACCTGTCCCTTCAGGGCATGCCTATGTCAGAAGGGACTGTAGCTGTGTCTGCCAGACATCTCCGCAACCTCCGACACAGCTCACTTGCAGGCTTTGTTCCAGGCAGTATAGCCAAGAAAGTGGGTCCGTCAGGCTAGGGTGCGCTGGCGGATCATTCCAAAGTCGGGCCGCAAAAAAGGTCACGAATTTTGTACCTTTCATTGCTCCCTCTTGGCTGTAGAGGAGGGCATCACGATTGTCCCATGGTGTCGATTGTAACCCGCAAGAAGCTCTACATTGCGCCGACCTCCCGCGCAGGTATGGTACGAGAAGGGATGCCAAAATCAAGGATAGCGCTCCTCGGCTTTTGGAACAGAACGGGGATGCAATGTTGTCATGCTGAAACTGGAGCCACTGCTCACGCGCACGTTGCGACGCTCTCTGGTGTCTTCTGCCTTCCCGAGCAGGCAACGCCAGGCGTTCAAGGAGTTGGAGCCTTGGTACAAAGCCATGCATCGCGTTGGGCCGTCCGGAATCCGCACAAATTCATCTTCCGAAGATTTCGGTGCGTGAATGCCCGCTGTGTGCCTGCACCGCCTGATGTGCAACAATCCTTGGGCACCCGCCAACAACATGTCCAGTCAAAACAAGGTGAATCAACTCTTCCGTAGTCTTTGCTCAGGGCAACCCTAAACAAACTTTGAGAACCCTCATCCCCAACAGTCGCAAGGCGAGCTGACTGCAGATCAAAAGGCATAATGATGTCTTCGACGTGCAAGACACTCCGGACGACTTGGCACTATCAACAAGCAGCAGCGTCAAGCTCTGGCATCGAGGGCCAAGGGTCGACACAAGAGGCTGCACACTTTGGGGGGTGTACTTCTTTGAGGGCTTCCGTGCTTAGAGTTTAGCCGGACAATCGGGGAAATCTTAAGCTGAATGCCTCGTCAATCAGCTAATCGCTGACACAAGTCATGGGGCAAGGGGCGGCTTCAAAATGACCCCTACGCCTAAGCCCTAAGCCTTTTCTGGTTCATTTTCATCTCGCTCTGCGTTTCGCATGGAAAGGTGCAGAACGAGGGCTCTGACTTGCGCAGCTAGTGCGGGGACCGTTCGAACCGAGCCAGCACCCTTTCAACATCTTGCGGAATCGAGCTCAGGCCATGCGAGTTGAACTCCAAGGAACAGCCTCCGACCACCGCAAGTCTCCAGCGCCAAGTGGTGAATTTCGGTGTCTCCAGCTGGATTTTGGACATCCGTGCCTTTTCTAACACACCCCATCTCCCGCAAGACAGGAGCTTCAATGATCTTGAAGGCTACCGCAACGGTCACAGCCTCAGAGCCAAAACCTACTTACCTACTTGCGCATGCTACAGGAAACCCCCGCACACAGCCGGTGGTTTCTGGGAAACTTCCGAAGTGGTGGGTGCTTCTTTGCACAGAAATCTTCAGCGTCCTACTTCCTGCCGGATCACGGCCTGCACGACATGGGCCGCTTCAAGGTTCATGTCTCGAAAAGGCCTCCCCGACGCACATCTCTCACAACTCACCAGGGGCTTAGAGCGTTTAAGGATTCCGGGTTAAGGGGTTTAGGGGATTCTCGAGGATCGGTTGTGCCAACAAACAGCTTGCTGCGACACAAGAGGCTGCACATTTTAGAGGGTGCACTTTCTTGAGAGTGTTTAAAACGTTGGGCTAGAAAGGGGGACAATGGGAAATCTTAAGCTGAATGCCTCGTCAATCAGCTAATCGCTGACACAAGACATGGGGCAAGGGGCGGCTTTAAAATAACCCCTACGCCCTAAGCCTTTTCTGGTTCATTTTCATCTCGTTCTGCATTTGGCATGGAAAGGTGCAGAACGAGGGCTCTGACTTGCGCGGCTTGAGTGGGGACCGTTCGAACCGAGCCAGCACCCTTTCAACATCTTGCGGAATCGAGCTCAGGCCATGCGAGTTGAACTCCAAGGAACAGCCTCCGACCACCGCAAGTCTCCAGCGCCAAGTGGTGAATTTCGGTGTCTCCAGCTGGATTTTGGACATCCGTGCCTTTTCTAACACACCCCATCTCCCGCAAGACAGGAGCTTCAATGATCTTGAAGGCTACCGCAACGGTCACAGCCTCAGAGCCAAAACCTACTTACCTACTTGCGCATGCTACAGGAAACCCCCGCACACAGCCGGTGGTTTCTGGGAAACTTCCGAAGTGGTGGGTGCTTCTTTGCACAGAAATCTTCAGCGTCCTACTTCCTGCCGGATCACGGCCTGCACGACATGGGCCGCTTCAAGGTCCATGTCTCGAAAAGGCCTCCCCGACGCATATCTCTCACAACTCACCAGGGGCTTAGAGCGTTTAAGGATTCCGAGTTAAGGGGTTTAGGGGATTCTCGAGGATCGGTTGTGCCAGCAAACAGCTTGCTGCGACACAAGAGGCTGCACATTTTAGAGGGTGCACTTTCTTGAGAGCTACCGTTTTAAAAATGTTGGGCTAGAAAGGGGGACAATGGGAAATCTTAAGCTGAATGCCTCGTCAATCAGCTAATCGCTGACACAAGTCATGGGGCAAGGGGCGGCTTTAACATCACCCCTACCCCTGAGCCTTTTCTGGTTCATTTTCATCTTGTTCTGCGTTTCGCATGGAAAGGTGCAGAACGAGGGCTCTGACTTGCGCGGCTTGAGTGGGGACCGTTCCACCCGAGCCAGCACCCTTTCAACATCTTGCGGAATCGAGCTCAGGCCATGCGAGTTGAACTCCAAGGAACAGCCTCCGACCACTGCAAGTCTCCAGCGCCAAGTGGTGAATTTCGGTGTCTCCAGCTGGATTTTGGACATCCGTGCCTTTTCTAACACACCCCATCTCCCGCAAGACAGGAGCTTCAATGATCTTGAAGGCTACCGCAACGGTCACAGCCTCAGAGCCAAAACCTACTTACCTACTTGCGCATGCTACATGAAACCCCCGCACACAGCCGCTGGTTTTTGGGAAACTTCCGAAGTGGTGGATGCTTCTTTGCACAGAAATCTTCAGCGTCCTACTTCCTGCCGGATCACGGCCTGCACGACATGGGCCGCTTCAAGGTCCATGTCTCGAAAAGGCCTCCCCGACGCACATCTCTCACAACTCACCAGGGGCTTAGAGCGTTTAAGGATTCCGGGTTAAGGGGTTTAGGGGATTCTCGAGGATCGGTTGTGCCAGCAAACAGCTTGCTGCCTCGGTATGGCCGAAGCCCAAGGGTCGACACACGAGGCTGCACACTTGAGAAGGTGTACTGTTTTGGGCTTTAGTGTGCAAACATTTTGTGCCAGAAGGGGAAACGATCAGGGAATTCTCAAGCTGAATGCCTTGCGTGAATGCCTCGTGAACCAGCTAGTGGCCGTCGCAAGTCAAAGGGCACGGGACAGCTGTAAAATGACCCCTACGCCCTATAAGCCTTTCGTGTTTTCTGCTGCATACTTGAGACTTACACCGAGTGGCACGGAGCAGAGTGCCGGCGACTGAGGCAAGCTTCTACATTCTATTGTTTACATTCTGGCCACCACAGGTCTTTCTGATGAATCGCCACCAAACTTAATGCGAAACCTTCAACCCATCAACCCGTCCGATGAGTCTTCGCTGCAATTTCATAGAGTTGCTTGGTGTCCTCAAAGGCAGCTGCAACACGTGCTAGCAACTATGCGGGCCCTCCTGCCTTCCTAAAGCTCAGGCACTTCGGGTCGCCTGGTGAGAATTTCCCTAAGCTGGCAACAAAACACCCCTGAAAGTTCAGGGCCGTGGACGAGCTGATGGAACGGTTGCAGATTCGGCCCTTCCGGCTGATCTTGGTTGAGGTGCGATCTCCAAACACGAAGTGCGACTGGTGCCTGAAAAGATGCGTTGCGGTGAGCCGGATCAACTGTAGAAGGGTGATACCTCGCCCACGAAGATGTTTGGTATCTTCGGGGGCCCGCAAAGGGGGCTGTCTACGCCGGTGCGCCAAAGAAGCAAGCGGCTGCTGCAATCCGCTTCAAGGCATGGATTGCCTCAGACGCCCCTTTGAAGCCCCTTCACGGCTCTTTTCTTCCCGTCTGTTTGTTCGAGCTTAGACATCGACAAGGGGCGTAAACATCTGGCAAGATCTACTGTGTCTAAGTACCAGCGCCGGCTGGCTAGCAAACCCAAAAAAGACCGAACTTTTGCTGCAAAAACCTTTGCATGAAGCTGTCGGCCTGAAGCGGCGCAATGGCTTCCATGGCAAAACTACGGAATCTACGTCAGACGGTACACTAGAGTCAGGCTGTTGGAAAAGCATGTGTGCTCGAACAATGTTGAGGTGTATGGAACACTTCACCACATTGCAAACACGAAAGGCTTGAGCCCCGCGTGCGCACATGCTGAAGTCATGGCACACTGAACAAAACGCCAAGCCGAAGTGATAGTATCCGGTTAGCACGTCGTCAGTGCACAGAAGAAGTTCAAACGGCAAGCTGCCACCCAGCATGCACACATGTCGTCGACCAAGCACATGAAGCAAACCACGGAAACCATCAGTTCCAATCGCCGGCCCGAAATACCAGTTAGACTTTAAACAGAAAACATGCAAAGAAGCCGCTCATCTCTGTCTCCCTGTGTCATTAGAAACCTGGAATTCGACAACGGGTTTCCAAACCAAATGACTTGCACGACATCTGAAGAGAAACAACGGTGCCTCAGGCCCCGATGACAACGACATATGTTCCTCCCAACCGATTAACTAATCAGGGCTGCTGTGCTGCTGTCGGTGAAGCTTGTCCACAAGTACTCCTGCATATCCAAAATCACACTTTATCTAGCAACAGACATACACGAAGAAGCCGATTCGAGAACAAAGACCTGCATGCAAAAAACTTCTCGTAAACTTCTGCAATGCTCCACCACATGCACAGACACTACAGCACAAGGAGCAGCGTCGACAAGGTAGAACGCAGTGGCGACGATACTTGTCCATGCATGCTCTCTGTTCTAGCTGAGAGTGCGAAGGATGAATAGCAGTATAACGTCTCCAATTCGAAATCAGTGATCGGAGCACTCGCCACAGCTACTGAGCCAGCAAGTGCTCTCTTACACGTGCTTGGCTTCGATAAGACTGAGGATATCTCATGCCACACCCCGTGAGACGAAGGCATCTTTTTCCTCACAGCCACGGCTCCTGGCACGGCTCCATATGTTCCATGATGTTCCATGTTCCAGACACGGTGCCGCTACTTTTCAAGCTATGGCCGAGGGGTGAAGCTCGTTGGCTCCGACGGGACTGCACTGGCAGGTGAGAGCTTGTCACACCAGATGGCGCTAAGGGCGATCACGGCAGGTTGGAAAATACATCCAATACATACTGCCTGGCCGTGGAGCCAGTTGGGTCAAGCTGCATCGTGGCTTGAGGGCCGTTCGCGCCGCAACCGCCGTGTCAGCTTCACATCGAGGCTCGTGCAGTGGTGCAGCCGACAAGGCTTGTGGTGGGACGGCAGTCTTTAGAAGTGACGAAAGGCCGAGATGTTACAAGTCCAAACAGATTCGGAATCTTCGCCAATCTCTGCAATTGCAGGTCTCGCAGGACAGCTCGGAGTCTAAACATCGCAGAGATGCAGGCTTTGGTGTCAGCTGGCGCAGCTACATGTGTTGCATATATCTGGTTCGCATCCCCGCAAATGAAACTTGTTCGCACCCCTGCGAACACACAAAAACCAAGTGTGCGACCAGCTATCCAATCATGGAAGCTGACCCGAGACGTCTCAGTCTTCATGCAAGCTTCAACCTGTCAGGCATGACGAGGTCTTCGTCGCACGAACTTCGGGTAGGCAAGCGCTTCAGCTAGCCTTCGGTGCTCCGGGAAAAGAGTTGAAAGTTGACTTCCAGTGTTGCCGGCCTCGCCGCTGGATCAAAGCTGCAAGCACTTAGCTTGCTGATACATCACTGCACAGCAGGTCCAAAACAGAAGCTCAGCGAGCTGCCCTCGGCCCGAGCCGAAAGCACCATGCTGCTGAAGTCGCTCAGGCTGTATCCACAGTTTGAACGAGTCTGCCCGCGACTTGCACTGGCTTTGCGTCTTGGCAGCCGCAAGATCCAGTGCTTGCCACCAAGCTTTTCGCCATGTCTACGATTGTGGGAGTTCAGCGTCGGGGTTTTGTTGCCTTGCGTGAGTCCGAGAACGCCTCCGCACTGCCAGCATGCTCACATACCTAGAAGGAGAAGTCTCGCGCACTCGGAGCCCAAACCCTGCATTCCGAGGCAGCCACTTCCCAAAGCCCGCCAGGGGGGCATCTGCTCTGGGCTCTGCACCCTCTAGGGTTCCAGTGTCACAGAGACGTGGCCTCCCTCCCCGCCAAAACTGCAAGGCATCGGAGCTCTCACAGGCCAGGAGGCTCCGAGACGTCCCGTCTTTCCTTCAAGGCCCTGCTCACAAGTCCTGTCTTCAAGCTCCCTCTAAGCACCCCAAGCCCGAGCCCCCAAACCTGCACAGATTTAAATCGCAGGCCCAAAGCTGATCGGTTTGCGATGTGTGATGAGTTGAAATGCCCGGCAGGTTGTTTGTGGTGTGAGCGCCAACAGGGGCTCTGGAACCATCATGCAAGTCTCAGGAACTGTTAGAACCCTGTGCAGAAACAGCCCCAAACCGTCCGGAACCGTCCCGAAGCGTCGGAACGATAGTAAAGTGCCGATCTGGGCTTCAAAGTTCGAATAGGTCTCGAGGTTAATGTCACGATTCTTGAGGCCAGAAAACGCAAGGACAGGCACCCTCTATTAAACAGAACAGACCACCAGCGATTCCAAGTGATGAGTGGTAGACGGGTGCATTACAAGCAGCTCCTGCAAGATTCTAAGGCCCCGGATATGACACACGGGACACACGCTCTGTTGACACAAGCGGCGGTGCAAGTAGGCATCCACATGTGCTGAACCCCCGCATCTGCAGGTTAGGCCTTACAAACCTGTCAGGCTCTAAATGCCCACGTTTCATTTCCGTGAAGAGCACGGTCAAGCATCACAAACTGCAACGTCGAGCAGTTGATCGCAGCACTTCCGCAGCAAGTCCCAATGGCACCTGCCAGGTCCTCGTAGCCTCAAAAGGCACCGAACCGACCGAACCCGCTCAGGTCTTGCAAGCTTCGCATCCAAGCACAAGCCTCTTCTGGCAGGAGCAGATCGATGTTCGACGGATCGCAGCCACGGCCTTGCACTTCAAGACACAAACATGACGGCTCTTGCCGAAGCCGCCGAAGCCGGAAAGAAATTCAACAAGTTCAACTGCTGGAAACAAACGGGGGTGGGGGGGCATGAGGCCCATCCCAGCCTCAGCACAAGCCGGGCCCTAGACACCGCCATTGCTGGGTCGGGTGGAGCGGGGCCGCTCTTCTGAAGCGAAGGCCTGGGCTGCACGGGCACGTGCACGGGTGACCTGACACGCCAACTTCCGCCCAATCTGTGGGGCCCGCCCCTGCTGGGCCTGCTGCGCTGGGGCTGGACATGCGCGAATGGGGCGGCCAGGGCCAGGGTTAGGGACAACGCAGATCTGTAGCTGTTGCCTGCAGGGCGTGCCTCAATGCCCATGAACCAAAGAAGAGAGAGTTTGGTAGGAAAGAACCAGGCCAAGCACCGAAAGGGCTCTGTCATCTGACAGGACCTGCGTGGAGCAAGGATTGAGGCTGAGTGAAGTTTGTGATGCTCAGGGCTTTTGGGACAGCTCCCAGCCGCACACGCTCCGAACTTCTGAGCCGGCCTACTTTCGAGTCCTTCAAGTGATTCAAGTGTTCATCTATAAAGATTCTATTGAGAGATGCCACAAAGAAAGTGCCGCAGGCTGGGACATGAGCATCCGAGCCTCGTAACGGCGAAGCAGGCTTCTGGCACCGGACTCCGTATGTAAAGCGTTTGTGGGAAGTGCTTCCTCGGCCATTGCGCTGTGCCCCAAGGGCGCCCAGACAGAGGAGACGATCAGCAACGAAGGTCTGCAACGTGTCGAGCCTGCACGCTTGCTCGCTCTCCTGCAAGGCGCGTCTCGCAAGAGTATCTCTGGCACAAGCCACCCTTCTCAGCAGCACAACCTGGGAAATGTACAGGGCACTGATGGGTCTTCAGACAAATTAGACCTATCCGGCCGTGTTGCAACTTGGGCAGGCACTAAGGCTTTGGACCAGAAGCGAGAGCCC